CGAATTGTGCATTGAGGTTAGCATAAATCCTCATTAGGTCATTTTGAATAAATTCAAGTCAATAATCTGAGCATAAACGTTGAACTTACTTCGAAGTAGTAATCATCATCTTACAAATAATCCTATAAAAAAAGCTCTCTACAAGCACACTTAATGCAACACAATCCATTAGGTAGGATGGAAAACGGAATTATCATAAATATAAAGACGTAACATTGAAAAGCTATGAACAAGTATTCTACATACTTCATTTGTGTACTAAGTAAACAGTAATATTCAAACACAGTACACAATATTTGCGCAGCGATTGCGGTCGAATCAACTGTTTAGAAGTCAAACAAAGAAGAATATTTGTGTGTGAGGACAAACGTCGTGCTCCTGAACTGGCTGCATAACGGTGAAGGTCCAATCTTTCTCTTGTCATTAACGAATTATTTTTGTATATATCCTGTCAGAGCTGGAGATCTAGATGATGTCTGGAAACCAGGGTGCTATTTATCTATCATCTGGTGACTTAGTTTCGCACACTGTCTTACACCCGGAGAAATAGTGAATGGATTCCACAAGACCATTCCTTTTTTGGCTAGGAATTGTGTGGAACAGCGACTCTGCATCTTAGTTACATACTTCGCAACCTCTATGACAGCTCATGAATTTTAGTGTACAAAGTATGTGTCCGACCACTCCTATAATACTGAGCCTCCTTTCCTATCAGTGTTTGCATAAACGAGAAGTTAAGGCTGGAATACGTACAGAGGCGATTTAGTTTTTCTCCTTAGGAGCGATTGTAACTTCAATTATAAATCCAGATGAAATAAGCATGAACTCGACTCATTATTGCAAGGAAAAATACAATCATTTTCTTCAAAATACTAAATGGTGTACCCTTCAAATATGGAGAGCTGCCTATGATATCCGAAACTCCTTATCATTAGTAAAAAGATATTACTCTAATTCTTCTCTCTATATGAATTACTTTACGAATAAATTTCCGACACTAAAATAATCTGCCACAATCTGTCCGTGATATAAAATCTAAAATTATACACCGGTCTCTCACATTTGACGGTGTTATCCATATCAGGCTGATCATACCTTTTAACAGCCATGAATTCTATAAACATTTTCAGAATATATATGTGCTCATTTATTCATTTATAGAGCATACAAACTACAGCTTACAGATGTACAAGACATTCCAGAGAGTCACTGTAGGCCTCCTTCAGCTTTTCATATTCGTTGAAAACCACTTAGAAAATCCTAACCTCTATGTTCATGTCTTGGTCGGAGACAAAAAGCTGTTGAGAACCACTGATTATAAATGTTTAAAGAAGCTATAAGAAGAGGATGGATAGAACCATCAAAAATACAAGGTGGAGAAATGTCAAAACACATTTATTTGCATACGTAGCATAGGATCGGCTACGACGAAGCTTCGCCACCAACTTTACAGAATATCATTTAGGTCTTCCACTAACAATACAATATAATGAGCAAACTCCACTCCAATGTATTCCTACTTACGAGACAAATTGCAAACCACCTCCTATCAGAAAGTACGCATCTAAATGCGACCTGACTTTTTGCCGAACCTCTCGTCTGTTTCGTATTTTCTAATTTTACTTTTTTCCCATCTGTTAATAATCTTATCACATGCTTGAAAATATTTTTTGGTAGATCGAGTTACATAAAAACTTTTCAATCCTGTCACTGGATAAGGTATATCTACATAAATATACTGAGACAGTGTTAAAATTCTGATAAATCCAAAGCAGGATGAAAAAGCGAATACCATAATCAACTATCAAGCAACAACCTAAATACTGATTTCCTACAGTAATGGACATCGGGTTTTTTATATATATATTTATGACATTCTGGAAACAGTTCTGATGGATGTAAGTAATGGCGGTGTGGATCTATTGCCTGGGGAAAGACTTCTCGACCTTGAGTATGCGGATGATATTGTCTTATTGTGCGATAATGCTCAAAGCATGCAATCCACACTTAGTAAGTTGGCAATCAATGTCCGTAAGTACGGTATGTGCTTTGCACCTTCGAAGTGTAAAGTGCTTCTACAAGACTGGCAGGATTCCAATCCTGTACTTACCCTAGGTGGTGAGCAGATAGTAGTCGAAAAGTTCGTGTCTAGATGGCTACACAAGTACTGGTGGTGGCGTGAGTGATGACATCAATGCACGTATAGTGAAAGCCAGGGCGACTTCTGCCAATCTGGGCCACCTTTGGCGCCGTCATGATGTCAGATGATGTCGGATCTACGACGCGTCGGTGAGAGCAGTTTTGCTCTATGTTTGTGAAACCTGGTGTCTCCGAGTTGAGGACGTTAGACAACTTTCTGTATTCCATCATCGTTATCTCCCAAGGATTGCTGACATCCAGTGGCAACACCATGTTAGTAATGCAGAGGTTCGGCATCGTGTGTTCGTGCGCAGAGACGATAATCCAATTGGTGTTACCATCTTGAAACATCGACTTCGGTGGCTTGGACATGTTCTACCAATGTCGCCCCAGAGAATTCCACGTCGTGCAATATATGCCGACTCTGGGACTGGCTGGAAAAAGCGGAGAGGTAGTCAGTATATGACATGGTATCGTGGAATGGAAGGTGCAAAGGGCTAGCTTCTGTTGGTCCTTCACGACTCCCTGGCTGGGGTCCGAGAGATGGTGCGACACAGTGGCTAGAGACTTCATCAGATATGGCTCAGGATAGAAGCCAGTGGAGATCCTGCTGTAACCTTCTTTTACTTTCTTCATAGAAAAAAGTGGTTGTATCTTCCTTAACGGAAAGATTTCTTCTGATTGTACCTTTCCGTTCCCTCATTATTACTACACTATCTTACACCAATCTCTTCGTTATTGTTCTCTTTTTTTTGCCCTCCTTACCTTATTTTTCTCTTCGAATTCTCATTGATTTGTGTAGCGTATATATATCTGGTGCCCCCTTGTACCAATATATGTGTTCAAATAAATAAATAAATAAATTAGAAAAAAATGTATTTAAAATCAAACACGATTTTACCACAAAATTTCAATCATACCTTCATGAGTTAAAAGTTCAAATTGATCACCAATTTCAAATAATAAATTTTATAAAGAATAACAAAAATAAATAACCAATAGTTATCTGTGTTTATGAATTCTTTTGAAGTATCCGCGTAGTTACCTAGAGTGTATGATTTAAAAAAAGGAATACACAGAATGTGATACAATTTCAAATAAAGATAATTTATTTGAGGTGATGAACAATTGTTGTTGGTCATATTCATAAACAATACTTCCTACAGGAACTTCTGAGGAGTCCCACAATAGGAGGTAACGGCCGTCCAGTGCTTCCAGGTTTTCCATAGTGGTTTAGCTTCAATTGACTCATGATCTTAACCATTGAAATTACTATAATATCCACAAAACCCATCTGATATAATTTATGGACAAATCAATGGAATTTAAAATGATAAGTCATAAATTTTGGCATCAAACACTGTTATCCATTCTAACTGATACTAGTTCATAATGAAAACTCTAACTCATATTTCTTAATTCTAACCTCTGATTCTAGCTTTTGATCCTAATTCCTTAAACTAATTTATAACCTTTTGGTTGATATTATCATATGGTCGGTAAAAGATAAGCAAACTGCTCAACGGTTATAACATGCTTGTTCAAAGTAAATGACTTGCGGAAATTCTAGTGCTGGATCATAGATTCAGTACAATAGTGCACAACGAGGTTATCTGTTATTCTTTACTTTAACAAAGGTATATCAATCAGTTGGTTTGTATAACTCAGTGAACTGAAGTACAGCAACAGTTTCTTATAAATCATGCAGTAGTATCCAAAACTGGACATAATAGTGAATCTAGGAGTACATTAGTCAAAAATTGAAGACTAGTTATGCCAAAATATTGCACCAACCGATGAAATGATAGACACATATTAAAATGTGTACACGTAGGAGTAGAAACAAAGGAATGTAACACTGTCTGTCAGGATTAAGTAATATGTTATATGGTGAGTAGTTACTTAACAGATTCCAGTGCGAATAATATACAAAATCCATTTTCCTCAATCGCCTGTGACAGATAACCATATCTTGAGAAGTTTTGTGGCCTAGGATCTGACTCTGGTTAGATCGGACAAATGATCTTTATTGAATGATTGCTGTCGAAATATACATCCAGACCAAAACATGGCACAAGTCCATGAAGTCACTGATATGTGGACTGAGCCATATTGGTAGGTGTAGACTACCTGGTTGGGGTCCGCGAGATGATAGCAACCGATGGTTAGAGGTGTTGAATGACATGACTCAAAATCGTTTGGAATGTCGCAGGTGCATCCACTCTTTGTGCTCTCCCAAATTCTAATCTCCTGAATTATCCTCGTCTCTTTTTTTCTCTTTGCAAATTTATTCCACTGGATTATACTCCTTGAATAACATCTTCAAACCTTAATCTTCCCAATTACTGCTTAAACTCTTACTACCTCTACCACTACGGGATTTGAATCGACAACTGCATCTCTGTACTAATGTGGTATAGCAACTCGGACTGATGGACGTACGTCCGAAGTTCTACGTTGTTACTGACTGACTGACTGATGAACATGTAATGATCACCTGTATTCTATTCAGCTTATGTGTAATAAAATTAAGTTTAGTATTTATGTAATTTTTTCATAAATGATTGTATATTCATTCTTAGTTTTTCGTAATAAACGTCTTAGTTTTGATCATTAACAACAGATACTAATTAAAACTAAAGTATCCGAGTTTTCTTACAGTTATCTCCAGGTGAAATAAACTCTTAATTTTTACTTTCGTTGTTCAACACACATATGTGATGGTGAGTAAAACAATAAGAACAGGGGGCGGTATTACATAATACTTACAGTTTTGACTTCTGTATAATTTCGTAAACCATATTCACCTAGTTCTCGACCAACTCCAGAAAACTTATAACCTCCAAAAGGTGCGGCAGCATCGAAAACATCATAACAATTGATCCTGTACAAAGAAATATACAACAGATTCATAAATTGAACACAATTGATGATTACAGATGCTAATCAGCATCATGTGTTAAATTCGCCTATCGGAATTCTGGTAGTGGTTTTTTCTGTCCTGTATTTACTATTCCGATTATGACCTAGCGCCAAAGACTTGATCAATTATACGTTATGACCTACATAGTTAACCTTGAGCTAGCCCAAGCAGCACTCTTAATAGTCAGGTATCCCCAAGCTTTTATCTAAACCGTGTCTTGAGTCTGAAGAGAAGTTAGGGTCTAGTCTCTACTAATTATAAAGTGGAAATATTAATAATAATCCTGTGTCTAATAGTCTCAGAAGTTATACTTCCACACTACTAATCTTACTATATATAGAAACTATTTAGGTGGAGTTTTATTCTCTGAGCCAGAACTCACCATCTTATGAGAACGAGAACAGAGAGTGATTGGTGTGGAAAAGAAGAATCAGTCAAGTCTGACACAGCTGATTGACATTTTGCAAGTATTTACTGTATGGTCCTCAGATTTTACTAAGATATTCTGTAATTTTGTATTCAAATACATTCGATTGTCACCACTTGTGTTCTCGTTCACCACACTAGTACCCAGAAAAATGGTGCAATCAACCTAGTTATTTTAGGTTTTCTTTATTTTGAAGTGAATACTTATACACATTTTTGATAAATTTACCATTACAAGTACACTAGAATGCAGTACTCCCAAAAAGAATGTTACATAACCTGTAGAAAAGTAACATTCTTCCATCTATTATTCAAGCAGTTTATTTATTTAAACACATAAACATTAGTACAAGAAGGCACCAAATACATATGCGCTACATAGATCATTCGATTTATGTGAGGGATGGGATACTGCCCGGGTGCCCAGATCAAAGCAGGTGGTTTTCTTAGGGGGCCACACTCCAAGCCTTTAACCTAAAGGTCTAACCCACAAGGCAGTGGAGCATCGTAAGGAGATGCATTCCCATGGTAGCCGGTGACCAAGATTGTTCCATACGCCATATGTTCCTTCAGGATACTGGAGCCCATGTGCAACATTGGTTTGGAGTCCGGTTAAAGCGCCGGACATTCGCTTTTCATCCTCTCAATTTCGTAAACAACACCCTCGCCACGAGAAGGCATTGAGTAGGACTTCCTTGGCAGAGGCTGTATACGCGTGGCCGCGTGAGAGCATTTCGAGAGGGAGGGAGGGCCCACCCCATTCTCGGCCATACCAGGGCATTTGGGGGCATTACGGCAGTACTCACATTTCAACTGTGATATTTTAGTGCTTAAAAGTAATTGAAGTAAGAAAACTAATATAGTACCGTTATTGATCTATACTTGTTTGCATAATGATGACCAACTTTTGTATAACTCTTGTTTGCTACGCCTGAATCATCAGATAATAAACAATTAAACAATCTCGCTATACAATAATCTGACAATGATAAACATTCAAGCAATGACAGTAAATAAATTCAAACTTGTGTATGGTTTACCTTAATGTCTGACATTTTGGTATGGGAATGACAAGAATTAGAATTGCAATAGAAGTCATTACATAATGAATCTCATAAAGTGTAACGACTGATCATTTTATGTTTAAACATATAAACATTGGTGCAAGGAGGCACCAAATAGGTATGCGCCACATAAATCATTCGATTTATGTAAGGGCTGTGATACTGCCCGGATGCTCATTTTATTGTATATTCATATAAAATAGGAGTAGAATGTTTAAATTAGTTTGACAATAACTACAATCAAGCTACCTCTACACTGACGGATTTGAATTAATCTGTAGAAAATTTTAGAAGTAAATACATCGAAATTAGCACTGATAGAAAAATAACCTTAGAGTTCGAGATGAGTTGTTCCAGTTAAAAAAATCTCCTTACAGATGGACAGTGTACAATGCTTACTAGTGTAGCAGATGGTTGGAAGAAAGTTAGGGGCGGCCAAACCAAAACGTGGCATCAGTGCTTGAAATCACTAACTTCCAGTCTGAGCCATGTTGGTAGATGCAGACTACCTGGTTGGGGTCCGTGTGACTATCGTAACAAATGGTTGGAGACTCTGAGTGACATGGCTCAGAATCGACCACAGTGGCGTCGATGTATAAACTCTTTGTCTTCCCTTAAACTATGAGATTAAAATCGTTCCATATCTCTCTTTTTACGAACTAATTCTTTCTTCCTGGACTGTCCTTATATGCAATCTTTCTTTTATATATTACCACCACTGAATTAACCACTTCTATGAATCCGGTGTTCATCTCACTGTGCTAATGAGGTATGGCGACTTGGACCGATGCACATACGTGCCTGGTACTACGTTGTAGCGGAGTGACTGACTGGACAGTGTATACAAAGTAGTTCCTAGATTATAACTAATACTATGCTATATATAGCCCTAGGTGTTAGTCTGAATTGATCAACGAAATCCGAATTCATATCTTTCAATGAACTCTACTTGAAATCATCCGACATTGAAATACAACAAATGTATCGTTATAAATAATATACATTAGTGTAAAATGTAATGAGTTCCAACGGTGAGACTATAATATATGGACACACCGATGATATTTAAAATAATTAGTCCTAGATTTTGACCTGGAAACTACTCATCTATACGGTTAAACAGAATTTCAGCATTCTAACTGATACTGGTTCATAATGAAAACTCTAACTCATATTCCTAACCTTAACCTTTGATCCTTAGCTTTTAATCCTAGTAAGTAGGTGAATTTTCTCAAAGTTAATACAGTGTCCCTTAGACGTTGTCCACAATTTGTAGTTTTATCATTTCAATTATTAATAAAAACTTAGAATTAACATTACCAAACAGTGCCAGCCTGTAAATGTTGCATAACATGCATAGCTTTTTCTAAATTATTAGTGAATATACCAGCTGCAAGACCATATTGTGTATGATTTGCTCTATGTATCAATTCATCTAATGATCGAAATTTCATAATTTGCATTACAGGTCCAAATATCTACAACAACAGAAAAAAAGGACAGAAATCAATATCATTAGCTACTGTTATACATGAATAGAATTTGTATTGTAGTGTGCGCAACTGATATAAACAGATATAAGTAGTATGTATCATCAATCGAAAGCGAAATACATGGACGCAGAAGGTTAAGAAGATCGAAGAGAAGAGAACGAGAACAGAGAGTGATTGGTGTGGAAAAGAAGAATCAGTCAAGTCTGACATAGCTGATTGACATTTTGCAAGTATTTACTGTATGGTCCTCAGATTTTACTAAGATATTCTGTAATTTTGTATCCAAATACATTCGATTGTCCTCACTTGTGTTCTCGTTCACTACAGTATTAGTACTAATTCTTAGGATTACCCCAGTAACAATTATTATTATTGTGTTATTTTCACCCCTGCTATTATCATAAATTTTGTCTAGATATTATTGGTTACCTTGTACTAAACACAAGATAATGTTGACTCATGTAGTTTCTCAGAATATTAAAGGTCTCTCTTCCGAAATTCCAGTTTTCTGTTTTATTTAATTAATTCAACAAAAGAAAAAGTGAAAGCATCTCGAACTTCACAATATATCGTTCGCAGGATGATTTTAAAAACAGAATGTTTATAGGAAGACAAAGGGCGAACACATCTGAGTCATTGTGCTAACCTGTCATAGCTCCAGAAAACAAAGGATGACTAACTCTAAACCATGTCACCTAAAATCTCTTAACCGTTGTTAACCACGAACCCTAGTAGTCTGCACCCAACAACATGGCTTAATCCAAATGTCAATGAATTCATGAACTTACATCACGTCTTGGTTTGGAAGTCGCTAGCTTTCCTCCAACCTATTTTCACACCAATGAACATAGCGCATTGAGGTAGGTGGTGGTTAGGTATACGTCAAACATGTCCCAACTACCACAGTCGATGAGGATACACAACCTTGTCAACCGATTTGCTATATTTACCCACTACCTTGATTTCAACCTCAGCATTGCTAACTCGACGTTCCAACAAATGCAATAAGTGTTTTGGAGGTAATTATGTTCAAACACTAGAAGCCTATGAATATCCTCTATTCTAAAAGCTACATTCCATAACCACAAATTAAAACAAATTGAACTGCTGTTCAGTATGCTCATTCTTTAGTTGATAGATAAACTTATCTATTCGGTCATATTGTATCAATAGTTTTAATGTTTCTCTGTGTTGAAAATTAACTGGTCTTGATGGATCCATATTTCGAGAACAACTCAACAATATCCACCATGTATAGCACATACAAGTTGAAACAAACTATAAATAATAGAATAACTTACTTCCTCACGAGCAATGCGCATTTCATCTTGAACATCAGCAAAAACTGTAGGACGAATGAAATAACCATCTGATTCAAACCGTTTGCCACCAGCACATAATTTGGCACCTTCCTTTATACCAGATTCAATGTATGACATAACTGTTTGATATTGGTGTTCATCAACTTGTGGACCCTGAATAACAAATAACCGTATTTTAGTATGAAACCAAAATGATATAACACTAACTTTAAAATATATTCACCAACTGTTAGAGATTTGAGCATTGACCAAAGGTTTAAAACCATAAGCACTTGGTATTGTTTTGCTTGTATCTTCCCATTGACGTTTAAGACTGCAATTAATCAGTCTGTTATTGGCATATGTGCCTCGATGTTGCCTTAATCTAAAAGCTTTTATAAGCCAAGATGGATAGTGACCAGCAGTGGATAACGCGATGGCGTTTGAAGCGAATGGTACTGGGTTCGAGTCCCAGGTGAGCATCAACTCTGATATGCAGGTACATCCAGCTGACGAGTCACAAACAGAACGAAATGCGCGTCCTGGACTCCACTGCTAGCCACTATCCGTCTTTGCCAATATGAGCAAGTGGTTGAAAAAAAACAAATAGTAGAGTATAGCCAAACACCTTAACGGTTGTTACAAAGATCATGTGAAACTTCAAGGAAACCAATTCTGCGTTAAGAATTTAATATAAACGTCACTTCATAAGTTTATAGGTAGCATATTGATGTTTACACTAGATGGTACGAGATTGAACCCACCGAACAAATACCACTTTAATTATAGTCAACAAACGGGGTGTGGATCTATTATTTGTCACCATCTACCATGAGACTGCATCTCGTGAAGTTGCTTCAGTGTCTTGTGGATTAGATCTCTAGGTCAAAAGGGTGGGAAGTGGCTCTCTAATGCAGCGATCTGTTTTGATTAGGGCGATTGAACAGTATCCTGTTCTTCACAAAAATCCGGTGTGACGCATATATATCTTGGTCCCCCCCCTCTTTACCAATGTTAACGTGTTTATAATAAATGAATTAATTAATAATCATATTTAGAAAATATCCGATCCTTTTAGCGTAACCAAAAACCATATACAGATCAAATGAATATTTATATAATGAACATTACATAATCATGCATTTAAATTACAATTTCACTAGGAAATAATTAAATGTTTAAACAGCCTTAAATGTTACTCACTTGTGTTGTGTTTAAATCAAAAGGATTACCAATTACACGCTTTTTAGCCTCTTCACTACTATATTCAACAAATTTATCATAAACTGATTCTTCGACAAATATACGTGAACTTGCACAACAACATTGGCCTTGATTGAAAAATAAACCAAAATGTGACGTAGCTATGGCTCGATCAACTGAATTTTAAAAAGAATAGTAATGTAAAATGAATAAAGTAGGTCATGATAGAGTGAAATAATCTTTGAAAATAAAATAGACTTTTATTTAGAATAGATAAGTAGTGGCTAACAATGGAATCCAGGGTCTTATTAGTTGCATTCACCGGCTAAATCCCAGTGTTGACGTCCAACTATTCGGACTCGAATCTTGTATCTCACTTGAAACGTTAAATACATTCTTCATTGAGGTATTGAATCTAGAATAGCCACTAACCCATCCAGTGAGTATGTCAATGTACATCATTAGCAGCTCGTGTTTGAGTTTTTCCAGAGTGAACACCAACAATGAAATGTAGATATATTTGAGGTGGCCCGTGAATCTGACTCCATTTATGAGTGTACGAATGTTTGCTATCACCTTTTCTCGTATATCATCGTCGACTTGAATCGCGTTAGTCAATAACGGAATTAAATAAGTCGAATAACGAGAATTGATTTGTGAATACATATATTTTGTACATGAAGCGAATGGAACATAGCAAAGCAAAATGACACGTATGGAAGACGGCTGGGAAGCCAACTCCATTTCAAGCCAGGCATTACTCAATATTTATAGTCAGACAAAATAAAGCTACAGACATGTGATTAATGCGATAAGAAGGGAACGCACATAAACGCTCATATAAAAACAGTCAAGACTGACAAGCGAATAATTGACAAGGTCAAAATATGGCTCAAGTAAAATGAATAAAATAGGATGTCCGGAAGTTAGAATAAGGTATATGGGCTTGCCATAATAACTGACACTACATATTCAGATAACGAGTACCAAACAAGATGAGACCAGTATCCAGGATTCCGTTGTTACTCACAACCAATTTATTCTCAATAAATTTCAATATAATAGTTATGTTGCAGTAATCTGCATGGGATGTGCATATCCAAACAAAGACTGGTCAAAATTCAGTCAAGATATAATCCAAATCTACACTAAAAATGATTTAAAAACATGGGATAATTCAATCCCTTACTAGTAATGATATGATCTTTTGTTTGATGGAAACATTCATACAATTGTCAATTATTCACCCATATACTATAGTAATCACAGACTGTCCATTTTTAAGTTCTACTAATCGATAAATTTTTATTTGCCTGAAATTACTGGATTGATATGTATTGAGAATTGGTCGTTGCTCCTGAGTTTATCGCTTTGACTGACTTTTTTTCTTAACTTTAAGCTACTTGTTATTTGTCGTAGAACCATTGATTATTTACATGTATATAAACGTCCCGAGAACTCAAAACTTCATACAATTGTTGATGCGTTATTCTAATGAATTTGATACCTGCAGTTTGTATTGAACTCTTACTGCCGATACAGAGGAATTACCCATATAATTTTAAAAGTTTTGGATATGCCTTCCCTTTCTGTAATAAAATTTACTACAGTGATATATAAACCTGACGTCTATCGAAATTGAGATCGAGTTCATCAATTTCACCTTTTGGACACATTTTTGTTTAATTAATGACAGCACTTTTCATCCTATCAAGGCGAAAATAGAGCACATGTATGTGTAATATTGACAAGCTTCAAATTAGGATGAAAAACCGGTTCAATACTTTTTTAGTTTTTTTTTATTTGGACCGATAATGAGGAATCATCTTTGACTAGAAAATAATAGTACAATGAGCACGGATACAATTGTACAAATTAAATTATTTCAATTCAGTGGGAAAGACGATCTACAACTACAAAGGTTAAAAAAACTGATTTACAATACAACTTACAATCACCATCACTGAAAATAATTAATGGACTCTTTCCACCAAGTTCTAAAGTAATTCGTTTCACACCATGTTTATAAGCATTCTGACCAATCAATTGTCCTACAGCTGTTGAACCAGTAAACGCAATTTTATCAACATCAGGATGAACGACTAGGGCATTACCAGCAGTTTCACCAAATCTGATCGAAATTGTTGAGAAATAAACAGGTAAAAAGTGGATAGTGAAATGAGAGAAATACGCTTGAACACATTAACATTGGTAAAAAGGGGAATCAACATATATATGCGTCACACCGGATTTTTGCGAGGGATGGGATACTGTTCAATAGCCTTAATCAAAACAGATGGCTTTCTTAGAGGGCCACTCCCCATCCTTTTGACCTAGAGATCTAATCCACAAGACATTGAAGCAACTTCACGAGATGCGGTCTCATAGTAGATGGTGATAAATAATAGATTCATATGCCGTTTGTTCCCTTAGGAACCATGAGCTCATTTGTACCATTGGTTTGGAATCAGGGTTTTCCAAATCCTCCATGTCGATATTTCGTACACACCAATGCAGTTTATGCCTCCGTTGGAGATTTCGTTTTCATCTTTCGAATTTCGTAAACAACACGCCCGATGTGAGCAGTCAGTGACTATAAACACATGAGTTTATAGAAGTATTTTGAGAGGGGGAACAGATTCTCCGTTCTGTAGCGTACCAGGACATTTGGGCGAAATTATTCATTTCATGTTTTTTTTGGTTGTTTAGTATACCTATTCTCTTCAGCCAGTAATAAAAGGATGTAAGAAAAATGTTTGGTTGTCAAGTGTATAATTATCATGTGAGTGGTTATTTTCAACTAAAACCTATAAGTCATCATAAGCCACCCGCGGTTTGCCTACCTGATTAATCTACTTGAAGACAAGCTCAATTCAAATATACTTTATCCAATAGGATTTGATGTTGCGACTCATTTATTACTACACTGGAGGTAAACGCATTCGTTCAGGTGTTTAAGTCAATTATTTGTATGAAGTCGAGCTAGGACAAAATTCGTTAACAAGGATCGAACAAAACGATGCCAAGCGAGCTACAAAAATTATTCTCTCGAACCCTATTGATCAACCACTTATTGTACAAATGACATTATTCGAATAAATCTGTCTACAAGTGACTGAATTGTTGAAACTACGATCATCATAAACATTGTTTATGGGTACTCTATTTTGTGATTGAATTGTATATTAAATAAAACTTGGTCAAAAGTCCACCCACTTTAGTTTGAGTAGTCGGGCATTATCACTAACCTTTACATAAACTGTAGTTTAAAACAAGATAGATAAACCCAAACTCTGTAAACGAGTTATACTCTTGACAGAAAATAGCATTAGACCTGCAAACTCGTGAATATCACGTACGTAAAAGAAACTAGGTAAAACCTTAGAAAACCAGTACAATCCATGTAACAGTGATAAGAAAATGAATGATTCAACTTAGAAACTTAAAATAGTTTCTACAATAACCAGATTTTAGGCATGTAGAATCCGCATAAACATACAATTTATAAGAAAGAGAATCAATATCAATTTAAGGTGAATGTAAGGTCGAATTGTAAAACATTTTTCTCATACTATTTTATGACGTGGCATCAGTGCTTGAAGTCACTAACTTTTAGTCTGAGCCATGTTGCGAGATGCAGACTACTTGGTTGGGGTCCGCATGATTATCGTAACAAATGGTTGGAGACTGTAGGTGACATGGCTCAGAATCGATCACAATGGCATCGGTGTATACACTCTCTGTCTTCCCTTAAACTAACAGATTAAAATCGCTTTATATCTTTCTTTCTACGAACTAATTCTTTCTTCTTACACTATATCCTTATTGCAATCTTTCTTTTATATATTACCACCACTGAATTAACTACTTTTATGAATCCAGTATCCATTTTGTTGTGTTAATGAGGTATGGAGACCTGGACCGATGCATATATGTGCGTGGTCCTACGTTGTAGCTGACTGACTGACTATTTTATGAACTTGCAACACATTTTCACTATGATTTGTGTTCAGGTAAAATTATCAATCCACAAATTCTAATCATTGCAATCGGTATATTTACTTGACGGAGCCAAATGCAATACTATTCTACTGGGGTCTAGATTAACATAGCTTCTACAAGGAAACTTGATTTATTAATCTAGTTAGTAGATTAGGGGAGAAGAGAATATAAGTAGTCTTGTCCCATCTACAGAAATTCGAGTTCGGTAGTAGTAGCTTAGCGCACGAACACTTCACGAATGTTCACGAAACTCAAATACAAAAGTGAAAACATCAATGAGGCGATCGTGCAACGTAAAATTACGTTAGTTATAGTAGTTCAATTCCCAGATACAGAGTCTTGGATGTCCAACGTGACTGAGTCTCATACTAGGATGAGACAGACATCCAGTGCTTTTACGCTTTCAGTGATAGTCTAGCTATAATCACTTCACGTTTTAAACTGTAAAAATAATCATTATTATATAACTAAATAAACTCGAATGGATCTTCTGTGTTCCTTATCAATACAACTTTCTTAAAGGACTTTCGTTATAGAGTAGTCGTGGTTAAAAGGTAAAGAAGCTGTCATATCCTGAATTGAAGTGTCATTAGAGTAATCGTTGTTAGCGTAAACCATATCACACTATGAAAGTGTATTTGCCAGTAGTATCGATTTTCAACATTGTCTGTTTAAAATTATTATTTCTCGATATACTGGTAGTCTTGGTCATCTCAACCAACTTAACCTACACAAATAAAATTAGCAACTGATGAATTGAACCCATATCTAACAAGGTAACTAATTGGAATAATATATACGCATAAGCATACAATCGATCAATCTACGTGGCTGCTTTACTTATCTTTCTGATGATTACATACGCCATTAGAATGCTTTCAAGGAGCCGATAAGTGATTGTATGTAACTTGATTCTCTTTACTCTCAATTATAAATTATTATACACACAATTCGAACTGGACATGATGGTAAACACTTTGAAGAAAGTTCTTATCAGATAATGATGTTACACGGATCGAACTGCTGGGCGAAAATATACATGTAAACCAATTTTACTGAAAAAAAAATTATCACCATATAAATTTTTACAACGAATGAAATCCCAGTTACACTGTACTGAATAATGTCAACTAGAGTGAAATGTAGATTCAAAGTTTTTTGATCCCCAAAAATAAACTGTCCATTTTTACAGTAATTACATCACACTAAAAACTCTTAATTCAAGCCCATACGAAGTTTATACGTTCTCTATAGCACCTAAATCAATTACTCACTGAGTTTTGAGACGACCTTTAAATAAAACCTATCAATCTTTGGAAAATTGAATTCGCAGCTCATTTGAATGCTTTTGATAATGTTATGTTGTCTGAGTCAAATGGTTTGATTTCAAGACGTTTATTGTCGCTCTGAATAATATCGTCAACGTCTATCTCATAAAGGAGTGAACGACTATTCTACAAGTGTCCAATTGGTTTGCTTTGATAACCTTGTTTGTGACTAGATATCCTCATAAGTTTTGTTGCCTTCAACTATTCTTGAGTATATATTGACCAAATAAGTTGAAATTCAACCGAAAAAACAATCAACATGAATGCACGAACAAGTAAAAACAACAAAATCTACGGAGATATCCAATCACAATTAAAGCCATCGGAACGAACTAATTCAACACCTTTAGAATAGTTGGCAATCTTACTTAAATGTGAATCATGCGCTGATGTTGTCCAGAAAGACAATAAAAGCTTTGCAATCAAACAACCTGGCTTAGAGAACACAACACTGTTAAAGTCTACTAACCTATTTACAGAAACATCCTTAATTAGAAAAAAAGCATTGAAAAAATTGGGTGAGTCGATTAAAAAATTTCTTTACCCTGGAACAATGTTCACTACACCAGGTGGGAATCCGGCTTCTTTGATTAATTCAGCTACCCAATTTGCAGACAACGGGGTTTGTTCTGCTGTCTTCATTACCACTGTATTTCCCATTGCTAATGCTGGACCGAGCTTCCATGCCTGCATAAGAAGTGGAAAATTCCACGGTATAATTTGTCCACAAACACCAACTGGCTCATGAAGAGTGAAACACATATAGTTTCCATTGACAGGTATAGTTTTCCCATGATATTTGTCTGCCCAGCCAGCATAATACCTATAAAAAAATGTTCATTATTAAGTTGTAAAAACAATGAAGTTTGATATAACCAACTGTACAAAGCCTTAAAAAGTCCATTTTTACCCCGTCCATATGCCATTTGGTGTGTGCCATTATTTTTATCTTCTTAAGTCATAATACTTCAATAAAACATGTAAACAAAACCGATATTTACAAGCACAAGATTGACTAGAGTAGAGATCATGCTACTACAATTATGATAAAATATCGTATCTGGTCTTAACATAAAAGAATCTATTATAGCAACCATTTCTGGTTTGATTTAAAACTGAATACTGGAACCTTCTTAAATATAAGTGAATAAAACATGAACTGTGAGAATAAGAACTTGAAATCAATTGTCGTATCGTAACACTTCGTTCTGTATTTTAGTGAGCATTTTTGTCAGCAGCTTGAAATATGTTAGTACATCCATTCAAATGAAAGCTTAATCTTAATAAATAATTTCTTCTGTCTTACAAACAGGAAAAAAAGTTCACAAAGAATGGCAATCTTGTCATTCTCTGAATATGTTATAAATATTTAGTCCAACTGAGTTATTAAATACAGTTATGTGTATCTACACGATGATTTGAGAACGTGCTAGAAGTATCATCTGAGAAAGATACAATTGGCAGATAGCATATAGCACTTTGATGATCAACAGCAACACATAACACTGAACTCATCATTAAAATTACTTTATATTATGATTAATTTCATTTTATATGAAAATTATATTTGAAATAATCTCAGAGATTAAAATTTACAACAATTCCAATGTTTCGTCCAACAAACTTATCTGAACTTCTTCAGGGTAATAATCAAAATCATCAAAGAAAAATATATATAATGCTTAACAATCAAATCAAATCTTTATTGTGCTAGTCCGATCATGCTTGGATGTTGACCTTAGTAAATAGGACAACATAAGTCAGTTATATGCGAATCATATGAAAAGATCACAGTGTGAAAATAAATGAATGGATGATTGTGTGTGTGTGTATGGAATTAAAAACTATATGGAATTCAAGAATAATATCGATATCATCCATATGGAAGAGGATGAAATGATGACAAGTTTTGATGTAGAGAAAGGGTCCAATTACTTGTTAAAGAATATTTGCAAAGTAGTTGCTAGTTGAATATCATCCTTTTCGTTCTTATGTGCCCACTTATACAGCGCTTCTGCTGTCAATGTTTCTTTATGAGTGTTAAAACCTCTATCGCCGACCTATTTTCAAGTTTCTTTTGATCAGTCGAGGATTTGGGAGCATTTTTGAAACACTTTTTATGTTCCTTCGACTTCACATTCAATTGTCTTGCAGTTTCTCTCATATACGCTGCATGACAGTCGATCTCATGGAAAACATTCTGTTGTTCTTGCTTTTGAAATCTATCCTCAACCTTCACTAATACTGATCTTATGGTGTCACAAGCCCGAAAATGCACTTATATCATGCTCACATAGAATCCTCTTGATTTCTTCCGGTGTTTCACTACGGTATGAGATGACCACGGTGGACTTACAATCTTTCGGTATACATTCTAGTTTAGTTTTTCTTTCATTTGTAATAATCTTCTTTAAAAACTCTTTGGGGTAATTTCTATCCCTTAGAGTAGACACAGCTCCATTAAATTCAGCCTGTTGGTTTTCCTTATCTGTAATGAAATTAATACTCCCGGTAATTAAACTTTTTACAACTGTGATTTTCGTACAATACGCATGAGCCGAACCGTATTCTAAGTATCTCTCAGAATGTGTTGATTTTCTGAATACATTTATTTTCAACTTATTATTATTATGTCTTCGTTCAACCAAACAATCGAGAAACGCTAGTTTATAGTCATTGGACTCTATTTCCATTGTAAGCTTGATGCTATCTGAAATGCTGTTTACATTTTCAAACAATTCTTCTAAACTATTTAGTTTAATAATAATAATAATAATGTTATCTACATGCCGTAACCAAACTTTTGGTGGACAAACACATCTTGTGATCGTGTGGTGTGGATTATTTATATCCATATAAGTAGTATATAACGGTGTTCAGGCATAAAATGTATTTTAGAAGATCGACAAGGAAAGAACGGAAACGGAACGCAGTCGGTATGAAAATACATGAACAATGAAATCTGAGACCATGAATTGATATTTGCAAAAAGAACAGTGAAGTTTGAGACGATGTATTGATATTTTGCAAATTACCGATTTACTATGTGATTCTCAGATTTTATTGAGATGCTTTGTAATTTCGTGTCAAGTACATTCGATTGTCCCCACTCGTGTTCTTGTTCACTACAATTGCACTGGTTTCTAGGAAATGCATAAATAAATTCGCTACAATCGGAGAAACTCGTGAACTCATTGCTGCACCTTCGTTTTGTTTGTAAAGTTCTACTCGAAGTCTTAATAAGGTGGATCGTAAACACAATTCCAAGCATTTAATAAATTTGGTTGGATCTAACGAGCATCGTGAATTTGAATCTGAGTTAGATTCTAAACAACAATAATATCCAATGCTCTATTAACTGGTACGGTAGTAAATAAGGAAGATACATCAAAACTTGTCATCATTTCATCCTCTTCCATATGGATGATATCGATATTATTCTATAATCACAGCCCCCAAATGCCCTGGTACGGCCGAGAGTGGGGAGAGTCAGCTCTCATTCCCCAAATGCTCTCACATGGCCACGCGTATATAGCCTCTGAGAGAGAAGTCCTACTCACTGCCTTCTCGCACCACACGTGTTGTTTACGAAATTGACAGGACAAAAAGCGAATGTCCAGCGCATTAACCGGGTTGGTGGACGTGGATAGTCCACCTAGGGGAGTTGGGAGACCCTCATTCCAAACCGATGGTGCACTTGGGCTCCAGCATCCTAAGGGAACAAATGGCGTATGAACCAATCGTTGGTCACCGGTTACCATGGGACATGAAACGCAAACATACAATAAAATCAACAAGATGGAAAGTATTTTAATCACTAACCTGTAGCATTTGATCACTGCATCTAGATCAATATTATATGAATCAGCAAATGGTTTCCCATTATCCAGTGTTTCCAAAGACTAAAACAATAAGGAGATTGGATAGAAATAAACATATGTAATGGATATCGGTTACATAAATAAAATAAGAAATTAACTAACAATAGAATATGCACATTCAAGTACTTTGACCAACGTAGAGGTTTGGTGTCGAAGTTCACTAGTTCACATTTACACACTTTAAAATAACAGGGAAAGAAAAAGAACAGTATTGCTGAGAAAAAAAGACCGATTGACTGACAGAAAAACCTGATTGTCTGACCAGGTTTCTCGTATCCAAGAGCTTGCTTATTTTCTTAAGAAATTATTATGATTAGACCATGTGATCTCTTCCTGTATAACCTATCTATCAGTGATTTATTCATCTTGTCAACAACCTAAACGACTTAATGACATCAAAACACCATATCCAGAACAGAAGGAGAAATAAGTAAACTCAGTAATGTCCAAAACCTGGAAGCTAAAGAATGAACATATCTGCTCCAGTCTGATCAAGTCATGACATTTACGATCTTTAATTATTAATGTCACTTTTACATAGTATGCAATAACGAAATATCTCATTGCACATAGCACATAACACTAGACTGCCTTGTTTATTTATCGATTAACTTTTAGATTATGTGAGTCTTTAAAAAATTAGTAAATAAACTATCAGAAGAAGCATACAATGAAAAACTATGATATAAATACATCTTCGATTAACCATGGTGCATTTTAGAAATAGTGCTCATTCACCATTAATAAATTTGTAAGGAAAATCACAAGCAACATATAAATTTTAGTACATTCAGAAATTTGAAGGCTGGGAACAGAAATCAATTTGTTCCAACTCCATTCAAGTGTACACAGTAACTTGAAAAGTTATTGCTAAGTGTACAAACACTTACAGCCAAATAAACTCTGTCACGTTCAATAAGATCAGCCAGTTTGTGAAGTAATACACCACGATGTGATGCATCCATGGTACGCCACTCGGAGCCAAATTCGAAGGCTTTACGAGCTGCTTTAACTGCTTTATCTATGTCAACCTGTATGAAGAACGAAACGTAGAAAAGTAAAAGTTTAATCATTAAAAGCAAAAATATGATCATCACTTTAACATCAGCACTAATGCTTATAAATACGTGTTTATAGGTATCAATCTCAAGCTTGTACTTGATAATTTAAAATAAATTGAGTATTGGGTAGAAAGTTAATAATACATGTATTCTTGTTATATCCCAATGTCAGAAATGTAATTTTTCTATTCATTTAGATATATCAAATATATATTTATTGTAAATACTTGGTTAATTAAGGCTCAGTTAATGAACTTTTTCAATAAGCTAAGAAAATTAAAATAACTTCATCACAGAACAATATTTTTCCAAAATAATACACCCTACAGTTTAGAAATAAAATGTATTCAATAAGTCTTTCTAACACTGCATAAATCAAAAATCTGGGAGATTATAAATCACTTACACCAGAATTGAGAAAAAGCATAATATCAAGATGAGTGACTGAAAGCAATTTTATAACCTGCAAGCAGAAACTGGTCACCATAACAAAAAATCTAAATGTAGTAAATACATAACTAGTACATCAATCAATTTTACGCAGTAGCCGTGGCATAAAAAACACGGGTTAACAACCGAATCAAAAGCTGAACTCCAATATAAAGGTACGCCTGATAGTCCGACGCTTTAATCAGGCTGGTGGATAAGGAGGATCCAACTACGGGAATTGGAAAACCCTGGTCCCAAACCAATGGACACATGGGTTCCAGTATCCTGAGGGAACAAATGGTGTATGAACCAATTATTGGTCACTGGCTATCATGGGACTGCATCTCCTAACGTTGCCTCACTGCCCTGTGGATCAGACCTTTAGATCGAAGGGTCCGAGTGTGGCCCTCTGAGGAAACCACCCGGTACAGTCTGGGAACTCGGGCAGTATCACAGCTCACATAACAATCAAGCGACTTGAGTGGCACATATGTATTCGGTGCCCCTTTGTGCCAATATTTATGTTCAAATAAATAAATAAATATGAAGGTCGTCATTTCTATAAAAGGACAGTTATAACCGAATGGAATTAGATGTCATGCTGAAAGACATACTTTTTTCATTAACCGAGGATTAGCGACGGGCAGAATGGTTATATATATTATAGATACCGTTTATATGTCATATAACCTAACATGATTAAAGAAGTGACCATTCGCCAAGATATATACACTCATTAGTTTAAAAAGTTTAAAAATGAAAAATTCTGAAATACTAAAGGTAGACAAGCGTTACCTCATCACCTTCCGAAACTTGACATATTACTTTACCAGTTGCTGGATTTATAGTGTTGAAGGTTTTTCCACTAGATGACTCTACCCACTCATTGTTGATGAAAATCTAATTTAAACTTCAGGTTATACTTCATAAATCAAAATATACCGAGTTTCGCTTTATTTCTGGCTTCAAAATAGGCTCAACCGCAGTACCCAAGAATTTACGTATATTCTTAGTAATTGCCTGTGCTCCCAAAATTTTTGACCCGGAATACAGGAAGAACATTTTAAGCTCTCTTCTGTAATACGAATGCTAGAACCTGGAAAAAATAAACTTCATTGTTAGTTAGAACAGTAGCTGGTTATGTCATACGTAACATCTTAAAAGCTTCCGATAGTTTAAACTACCACAATTGTGAAATAATTTAAATTATTTCACGTTGTGATACTAGTGTCTACAGTAATCTGGATGACTGAAATTATTATTCCGGAGATTACACATTACCCGTACAGGTGCGGTTTAGCAATTTTTGTAGTTGTTCATTTTATATACATTGGTGTGAAGCCCTATCAGATGCCTGGGAGTGACTTCGGAGTAAATCCCCAAGTGAGATCTAAATATGCAGTGGTCTGAGTCTAGCCTTGTGATATATCGTGTGTTGTAATAGCATGCTGCTCAGCTGAGCAGCGTACGCTTACAAGCGCATGTACATGAGAGGGGATTTAAAGAATAGAAAAAGATGGAAAGTTAATCAACAACACATTAAGCATTTAGGGATGCATCTACACCCTGCGGTAAAAGCGATAAATCATAATCACTTAGGCATGAGATTAGATATTCTGCCCAATGGCATCACCTGCAGTTAGGGATGAAGGTCAAACACCCGTACAATTATTGGTGCTTTAGCCTCGGTGTTTTATATACCCATCCCCAAGCGGTAAGTTCAAGATGATCAAACTTAAATGTTGTAAAAATGTTCATTGACCATAACTTTTTTCACTCATGTTACTTTTCCAGAAGCATAAGCAACCAACCAGAATTCCTCACCCAACGCTGTTTTCAGGTCTTATTTTCAGTTCCTCTCAAGTTCTGTTCATTCTTTTGATATTTACTTCCGATTCCCGGCGCAATATGTTCTGCCTTTCTTCCTTTTGCCCAGAAAATTCCAACCCAGAGCATGTCTCGTGATGTAGTTTGAGGATTTCCGAAAAGTGTGTTTCGTCTACTGATTTTCTCTTCAGCTGGAAGTTGGTTTGTTCTGTCACAATGGGGGCTATTGTCGATGGTGTCTGCCCAACAGATATTTTGCGTAAGCATCTGTTCCTAAATATTTGTACCTTTATGATGATGATTGTGGTGAATCCCTAAGGTTCACCCATATACAATCTAACTGTCTTGACATTCGTATTGAAAATTTTGTCTTTATTGTTGGTTGGCAGTTGTTTTGAGTTCAAGGTATTATTCAACTGTGGGAATGCTGTCCTTGCTTTGCCAATCCATACCTTTACAGCTGCATCAGATTCTCCTTGTTTATCAATGATGCCACCCGGGTGTGGGAAAGTTCCCACCTCTACCAGGACTTCTCTATCAAACGCGCCTTGGTTGTTGCTAATTGTGCTGCATTATATGATCTTCCTTTGCCCTTGTGTATGTTGAAACGAACCACTGCAGAGACTAATTCTACATTGGATGAGTCCATCTACATTTGATATAGAAGGCCTAGGTCATCTCAAAAGTCTAAATCGTCTAGCCTCATACAGGGTGTACATGGCTTTCTGTGTTTCCCCTGACATGTGAAGGTTTCCTTAATCCAGTTAACCACCAGAAAAAAGAGGGATGAAGAGGGTAAGCAGCCTTGTCTGACACTGGTCTTGCCCAGGAACGCGTGTGTCAGATGTCCTCTACGCACGACTTTGCATTGCAGTCTGTTGTAAGAATTCAGTATTACGTTGACAATGGTGTGGGGAAAGGTTTCGTTAAGTTTCCCTCTCCACTCAGTCAAATGCTTACTCATAGTCAAGGAAGTTGATGTATTGTGACGAGTTCCGTGCACGATTCGGTCAGCACTTGATCGATCCTTGGGGTATCCTTCTTGTTGATCTCAAAGCTGAGCGTCTACTGGATCTCTCACTCGGTTCAACAACACGCTTTTGAAAGCTTCACCTAGTACTGATAGTAGTTTGCTCCCCTCATAGTTCCCACGCTTACCAAGAGCCTCCAGTATCTTGATAGGGTATCTTTTCACACCTGTTGATACGTGTTCTTCTATAGTGGTACTGGATCTCAACAACACGATTCTTGAAATCGAATGCAGGATAAGCGAAGAACTTTCATGCAAGATTCAAAGCTATAGAGAAGGTCAGAGACGGTATACGCCTGAATACTTAATCGGTATAGCTCGGCTTGACCACCCAGGCGTGGTCATCATGTAACCTACTCCTCTTCATATCAAATATATTATTTTATGCTAAGATGAAGCGTGTCCTTCAGAGGTGTTAAACATAATAGTGTCAACTATCATTACAGGAGAAGTCGGTATAGAAAATGGTGTGATTTCCACTTAAGATCTTATAGATTAGGTAGTCATATTATGAGGAATCTACGATTTTGGAATAAGGTCTATTATTATGGTACTAATACCGAATTAGACCATAGTATAACGGAAATGGGTCCGACTAAATTTGAAAGTGGTAACATTTTTTAATGTGATTAAGAAATTTTTCGAGTTGTTTTTTTTTAGACTGTATTTTACTGAGATCACCATCCTATCTTATATATCGGGTACATTTTACCACAGGAAGACAATTTTGACGGACACTTACCAGTTTTTCATACATATCGTGGACTTCGTTTCCTACACATCTTATATAAGCCCCCAGTAATTGACAATGACGCGTCTTTATCTCTGGATTATACTAATTAAAATATTAACATTTAAGTGATCGCTACTCTCTCATGTAATAAGTGAACATCTTATATTTGAAAAAATTATATACTCATAGTTTTTGATCCTAGTATGAACCCGGTCAATACTTAATAAGAACTATGTACTCAGATATCCGTCAGTTACAAAACTATCTAGCCAAAATTAATGGTAGATTTAGCCAATTAGCACCCCTCACACATTTATGAGGCCTTAATACTGATAAAAATCTTGAACAACTTACCAAAGCTGAATGTATTTTAAAGTTTGTGCCTGAAGAAGTGACGAAAAGAGTGGTGCCACCTTACAATGCAGTTTCATACAGTCTCTCTGATCACACACACACACACACCAAAATAAGGGGTATTCGCCTTAGAGCATGGGTTATGGTGAATGTCATCTGCCAAGTCATCCACCTTAGAAAAAAGTCGGATAGATCGATATGCCCTGTTCTGTTTAAGTTTAGCTGTTATAATGACGTTAAACAATTTATTGATTCGAGCAAAAGCATTAACTCATTAATTCCATACAAGAGCACAAAAGTCACTCCAGACCTAACGCCCTGTCATCGTCGTGTAAGAAGACGTGAAGCGAAAGGATTACATGATAGTGTTATAGCAAGTAACGTTCTATAGACAGTTTGCAGCACAGTAAATAGTTTAAAGCGCACGAGTAATAAGCATCATGTCACTGCACAACTGGCAGATCACTCTGTAGACCTAGATGAGTCTGCAGATCAGAAAACGTCGGATAAGATACGGATCCTAACTGTCACCAAAAAGCATAACATTTCTATTTTCGGCTGTTCGAGCAGTAAAGTGCATAAAAGTGAACCATATGACAACACTAGTTTCCCTAGACGTACTCCACACGATGACTCAAGTGAACTTGAATTAATCTCAAAAAGACAAAGAAACTCGACAGCTCTGACAAAAAAGAGTGGGGAGATAAAGTCCACGATACAGAATAGGGAAACACGTAAGGCTGAACTCAACCGTCCTTTGGGTCATCCGACAACAATGAAGAGGTTCTCCTCATTAATGTCACATAACTTGCCGTCAACACCTCTAAGTTTCAAAACTTGTCGTTGGCCTGAGTGTAACGACTCCTTTTATACGCAGACCAATAAAAACTATCAGAGTACCGATCACTCCACTCACTCCATAAAGCCTAAAACCATTATTAAGCATGGTGATAATAGATTTCGCACCCCACAACTACATTCCTCAGGGTCACAATTGTAATTATTCTCAGTAAGAGGGCGTTCCATACGTTTTAGTACCAACCCACCACACAAGAACGGCTCCCATATATAATAACAGTCGTGACTACTTCCAGTCAAGTGCAGTAGATCCTTCTCATGTTCACACTAATGCAAATAGCAACAACAAAGTCTACGAATTTAACCATCAAGACTATTTTGCAAATGACCGTACACTTCAAAGTCGGCCTACACCAGATTTTTTGGAATAGAGCCCCTGGTGGCACCTCTCTCGAAGTATATATCTCAATTCATTTCAAACCACATGCAGAACGTTAACTTGCTTACCGCGTACAGTTTCGATCAGAGAGTACTACCACCCTTTCTTCCTGGGTAAACTCTTCATGCCATTTCACTAGCTCATTTGATATACCCTCCTCTTATTTCAGCTATCAAAATAACGAGTTATTAAAAGACGACCAATCTCTCACTTTAAACACAACCTCGAAGGCCATGACTATTTTATTTGAAATACTCTTAACCATTTTAAGTTAGTGGGCCATCTGTCTAATATGTGTTTTATCAACACTAGGTAGATTTGTAATAAAAATAGTACTGGTGCTAATTGATCATACAAAATACCTCTTTAGATAGTGTTTGTGACGTTGAGTTGGTTTCACTTCGCATCGAGTAATCCTATTACAAGCAAAACTAGACAATTTTCAAAGACGAAACGTGGTCATGACCCTATAAAATCAATAAAAATAAAAAAAGGGAGAAGTCATTTGTGCATCATAATACTGTTTTCAGTACTGTATTTTAAAACTTCACATAGTCGTATACTTTCAGCTTATTTTAGAACCACTTCCATTTATGCAGTTTTTTATCCATTCATACCATATTTACGCCTGTTTCTTTTGACTTATTAGAATGCTCTTGCTTAAAAAGTGCCTTAATAATAGAACCTTAGACTAAGTAGTCATACCTTTGCTATTTCACCACAATTGACTCAATTTCAATAGACATGAACATTGTATGCTTTGCTTCTCGTTTTTTGTTTTCCTCACCTTATTCAGCCCTCTCAAGATGTGTCACCGATAAAGCATATAGAATTGGTGATTTCGTCCTGTGCCATCATCAATGCTTCAGATGTTTTAGGGGGATATAAAGTTGGAACAGCTTAGGTTGATTGGTTAAGAGCTTATCTCATGCAACTAAGCATATGTCAAAACAACAGAGATCAAGTATTCATTCACTTCCTTATTTTGTATAGGTACTACATTTCCTATTATCTTATATTGAATGTTGAAAAGCTTTATGTGTTCGAACAGGTAGTCCAACGCTCCATTGCGACTGCACAACGGTCTAAATAAAGACCGATTAACTATTAGTCTGGTTTCTTCTATCAAAAGAACGAGGGTCACCTAAGGGCACGAAGAGGTAACAGTTTATAGAAGCTCTCAAACTTACGTGGACTTATTCCCGGCTGTAGGTTGCATGTCGCGACACAACCTCCATCGAGCACTCCAGTTGTCACGCTGACAATACGAATTCTACTAATACTATTTACATTCATGTGTGAGAACAGTTATCTTCATACTTTTATGATCAATCTACCTTATAAAATATCAAACTAACTGAGTAACCCACCACAGTGAAGACTGCATCATCTGTAACAATTTGATCATGCCTGTAAAGTGGTATGCTTCATGTAACAGACTGTGATTTGAGAATAAATTATCATTATTATCATCAATAAAAATAGAACATGTAAATGTGCTAAAAATATGAGAACATAGAAATAATATTACGGTCACT